GCCCAAGCAGGAGGAGGAGGAGGAGGGAGAGGCGGCCGCGCTGCCCGCCAGCAGCTCCGCCGGCAGCGCCGCCGCCGCCAGCCGCGAGCTCGAGGAGCGGCGCGCGCAGCAGGAGGACATCGAGGAGCTGGAGACCAAGGCGGTGGGCATCTCCCCCGACGGCCGCTTCCTCAAGTTCGACATCGAGATCGGCAGAGGCTCCTTCAAGACTGTCTACAAGGGGCTGGATACGGAGACCACGGTGGAGGTCGCCTGGTGCGAGCTGCAGGTAACCGGCAAGAGCCGTGGTAATGTCATAGCGAGCTGAGAACCACCGCGCTCGCACCGAGCCTGCCTGCTTGGAGAAGGGAAAAATCCGTGCATCCCCAGGCAGCCCCATGCAGGGAGGGCTCTGCAGGCCTCCCCGGGCCGCTCCTTCCGAAGGAAGGTGCAGCCTTTCCTTGGAGCCAGCCTGTTAGTTCTTTTAAAGCCTCTGCTCTCCGAAGATATCTTTTAGCCTTTTGTCCTCCAAACCTGTATTAAGGCAGTTTTTTACCACATCTTACATTTTACGCCTCCAAATGTAGTGCAGYACATGTATTTGTGCAAGACTTCAGGGAGACTAAGGGGAAATATGCCCATTGCAGTGTAGGTGAATGTTAATTTGAGGTAAACTTCACTTTTCAAAGTGTTTTTAAGCTTAATATTTTTATTTAAAAATGTGTTTTTTTCCAAAGGCGTTTACTGTATTTATGTCAATAGATTGTTGTAGGAGGCAATCTTAAAATACACACAAAGCCATGCAGCCTGTCACATTGTTTAGTTTTTGCAAACTTACTCATTCCATCCTAAATTCTAGCATCCTCACTTGCTGCAGGGACTGGGAAAAAGAGCATTTGTGTCCTTTCTGAGGCTGTAAAAAGCTGCAGCTCAGCTTTTCCAAATGGTTGGTGGATTAAACTAGAATAAGGCAACTCTTCAGGAAGTCTCTGGAGCTCAGCAGAGGCAGAGTTTAGTAGAGGCCCTGTCTAACGATGGTAAGAACAGCCCAAGTTCCGTGTGTGCCGGCTCGGGAGGCAGGTTACTGTGCAACAAACTTGCAAGGAGTCGGGAGAGCTTGGAGTCCCAGTAACAAGGCCGTGGTGTACAGGTTTGTCTTTGAGGGAGAAGGTGTTAAAAGGCTACCTTCTGCTTTTGGGAGATGGGTTTCAGCAAGGGGTTCAGTAGTGCAGGTTTGGAATTGCCTGTGTTCACACCCAATTCCATATAGATGACAGGAGAGGTTAGACGAAAATCCCAGAAATTTCTGGAGGAGATCTGAGCACTTGCTCGCAAACGAATGATTGCAGTAATGTATCAAAGCTTTCTTCCCCCACCAAGATTTTTAACTATTCCTGTCAAATGTGAGAGGCCTTAAGCGATCTCCCAGTTCTTTCTCCCAGTATCTACTCATACTTGGTTTTGGACAATTGCTTAAGCCTTGTACCAGTGCCTTGGTATTCTTACCTGTTGTGTTATTACTCTTATGCCACAGTTAGTGACTGTGGCATCAAGCATCCAGTTACATTTGTGAGCCTTGAGCATGCCCCCACTTCCTCCATGCAAGCTGTGCAGTTGCTGTGGTCTTCTTCTGAGCAACACTTTTCAATAAAAACATGAAATCCAAGAAATCCAGTGTTGGGCTCTGTTTAAGCTCATGCAGACTCTGCTGGGAGGAGATGAATAATCCACCAAAATGATGTGGCTCTGATTTGAAATTTCAGTCTCTGGAATTCCAGAGTTTCTTGACTTTTAACCCCTGAAGTCTTTTGAGTCTTTTTTTTTTTTCTTTGATCTTTATGCTGTATTTGCTGATCAGAAACCAATGTCAGTTTGCAATGTCCTAACTATTATCAATATCACGTGAAGCTGTTTTAAAGACCACCTTCTTCAAAGTAGTTTAATAAACATATTTATAATATTTATAACATATTTATAACATATTTATAAACATATAATAAGCATATTTATAAAGAGTATATTGCTTAGCTTTTGACTGATTAAGAAATTCCATAAGTAGTGCTCTGTAATGGCAATGAGACTGCAAAAAGCACAAATGAAAATACTCATAAGGGGCAACTGGTTGATGTTTTGCTTGGAGTTCAGCAGTACTACAGGAGTCCATAGCAGTTTAAATAACTTAAACTGCAATTTTCCTGTCATGAGGAGACTGCATACTAAATGACAATTTTGAGACCTGACTAGGAACTTTATAGCTGTTAAAGTATTTGCTGAAGGAGATAGGCTCTTGTTAGTAGGATATTAAAGGTTAAGTGATGTTTTATTGTTTGCTTCTAGAAATAAAAGGAGGAATTTAGTAGTTGTTGCGGTGATAGGTGCATCTTTCTATTTCTCTAGGCAACTGTTGACAGATTGGTGAAARTGATTATACTTGATTTGTAACAAAATACAGTCTGAATTCACCCAGACAGACAGCGACTTAGGTGTCATGCTGTTTTTCCGGAACGCTGTGACTCGAGGATTGGTGAACCTTCAAAGCACACTTACTTGCTGCTGAAAGTGTGATTGATTTTCTTCCATGCCACTTACCATAACTCATTTGTGCTTGCTATTAATTGCCTTGAGATGCCTTCTTTGGTAATAGAACAACTTTTCCAATCTTGCTCATGCCAGCAAGTCTGAGTGTCCTGGGTGTCTCATCTTTCTGGAGTCTTTTCCAGTGCAACTGTAGTCTTGCCAGAGTAAGACTGCTCAGCATGGTTGTGCAACTCAAGTTGTGCCTCCCCTGCCTTGTTCAGGGTTAGTAAAGGTGTATCACAGGTCTTGATTGCAAGACATACAACCCATTTATTTTCCATTGGAAAATAAAAATTCCCACTTTCCAAGCAGAATCCTTGGCAGTATGTTCTTCTAGGGGTTTTCTAGCATATGTAAATGCTTCGGTTTCTTTAAGGTCTCTGCTGTTTGGTAGGAAATAAGAAGCTTGCTGCTTTTAGTTCAGTTGAATGACAGTTGTTGAGTATCAGAAGGAACTTTGTTGTAGGAGTCGTGCRCGTCAAGGAGCTAATATCTCACACTGGAGAGTCTGTAATGGCCTCTGGCCAAATGACTTTTCAACTATGGGTAACACAACTGCACCTAGTTTTTATGTACACACTGCTTGGCAATAAAGGTTAAGATCAAGGAATTTGGGTGGTTAAGGCTTGCTTTTCAAATACAATTTGGCTTCTCAAGTTGCTGAGGATAATCTGAAGGATGCTGCTCCAGACTGCATTTTAATGATTCTTATGCTTGGTGAAAGGCACTGTGGGGCCAACGGAAGGAGAATGAGTTGAAATTCTGTATGTGGTTTAATGGCTTTTTTTAATGGACAAGACTGTCTTGGACAGTCTTGGACAAGAGTGTAGTTTTTCTTTACTTCCATGAGGAAGATGGGAGGAAGGTATCAAGTATTTCAAGGTTACTCATAGATTTACAACAGGATCCTAAGGAAGCCAAGGCTTATAGACTATCCTCTTTTAAGCAGACCACAAATCAAACTAGCAGATTGTAGATGACCTAGTTTAAATGCTAGGTGCAAGTATTTAAATTTGAAGTAGCTGCCCTGCCACAAACATAGCGGAGCTGTGAAGAGCTGATGGGCGAGTACCTGGGGTTGGTGCCCAGCTTCAGGCATGGTAAGAAAATGGCTAATGTAGTCTCGGCTTTCAAGTACTTCTATTTTCATCGTATATATTCAATTCAGCTCTAGTTACTCTGAGTCAAGTGTACCTCCTGCTGTTGTCATTAGCTTGTCTCATAAATCCGGGGAAGTAGCAGTTAGGGGTACTGCTTTAATGAGATGCAAGTATGTAGAAATCAGCAAAAATACCCAGCCACTGTCTTCCCTTTTAATTGGAAAATCTCTTTCCATCCAGGCATGTCTCTTCAAATTACATTCCTGAGCTGTAAGTCTTCTCACCTGTATGTATAGCTCAGGTAACATTGTGGCTAAAATGTTATTTAGCATAGTTAAATTTCATGCAAAGGGAATACTTTTGTGTCAAAGGAAGTAAGTGTCACATTGTTGGCTGTAAAAAGCCAAATTGGAGGAGTCATGTGTCATCTGCTAAGGTTGTGTTTCAGTTTGAGTAAGAGCTGAAGTGACAGTCAATTTAAAACTGTCTTTTAAAGTAATAGGGACTGGTACAGTCGCCTGTTGGACTACATAACTGTGTGCATGGGGCTGCTGCTGTGGGTTCTGCCATTCGCATCACTAGCTCTTCAGGTATGAAAGCAAACTTGACATTATGGAAGGAAGACTGCAGTCTTTGAACTCAGTACTTGYCAAGTATTCAAAGAGGTCTTTGTATGGAATTTTCTCTTATAGGAAGCATGATTTAGATACTGTCACTAGAAGGTTCTTTAGGTGAAGCCAAGGTTGTTGGTAAGCCATGTGCTGACTGCAACCACACTTGTCTGGATTAGAGTTATATCACTTCTGTCCTTTGTATTTCTTTGGAAAAGGCAGGTTAGTCAGCAGTTAAAATTCATGAATGCATCTTTCTGCTAAGTCATTTTGCCATTTGGACAGTGGCATCAGTGCAGCATAGTGGGTACAAGTTGAAACACAGAAGAACTTCTTTCCTGTGAGAGTGACAGAGCCCTGGAACAGGCTGCACAGCAAGGTTGTGGAGTCTCCTCTGGAGGTCTTCCAAACCTGCCTGGATGCCACCCCGTGCTCTGGGTATCCCTGCTGGAGCAGGGGGGTTGAACTAGATGATCTCTAGAGGTCCCTTCCAACCTCAACCATTCTGTGATTAGGTGGGTTATTGTCTTGAAGTGTGAGCTGATGCAGGGGACCAGGATGCTGGGTGCTGTCCCCGGGCATGACACAAAGGCACTGCTCTTAAGCACAAGAAAGGAGCTTCAAAAGCGAGCGGTGCAAGAGGGTCTTCTGCTAATTACTGCCATATGCTGGGAAGTTGAATGTGAATTTGGTTACCTTTAGTTAAAGGTCTTCCAAGTGATGACTTGGACTTGGTTATGAAAGTGCAGTTCTACTGCAGTCTGTAAACTAAGTCATAGACCAAGTGCAGTGTGCAAGATGCTCCAACTTAGCAGTGATTTTTCTTTGCGTAAGCAGTAACTATGGAAAAACAGGTAAAAATAGAGTATCATGCCTGAGTGTGATCCATGAGATTCTCTAGTGCAGTCTGGTAGAAATGATAATGCAGCTGATTCTCACTTTTAATGACAGGAAGTAGTGATGTGCTGAATTACATTTCGTGTGTCAGAATGGCTGTGGCT